AACAATGTCAAACCAGACTTCAAATATTAAGACAAATAACTTACAGAGAGCAAGAAACAGAGTAGCAACATGGTGTATGACTTCAGGCTCAAAGGACAACCCCAGTACATGTTCTTTAAAAATATCTAATTATTTTGTCTAATTAAAGAATCATAAAAGTTTTTAACATACAAATTACCTCAGTATCATTACGAACTTCATACTTTTCTTCTTTTATTTTACAATCAAAGATAGTAAATGAAGATCCTTCTGGGCTAGTAGCTTCTGTTGTTACTAGAGGTGTAAAATAGATACTTTTGTTACATATTTTAAAATAACTTCTGTAAATCACTACATTATAACAATTTCTCACTGTGAGTTGACACATTTTCTTTACTTTATCACAGTTCCACCTCTCTCAACTTGACCATCATACAGATACACCAACATTTAATTATAGTAAAGTAGACTGATAAACGATTAAGTTTAATTATGTGTCATATTATTCCTGAAGTGCAGTTTTTGATGTGCAAATAATTCACAAATAAGTTATTCTAATAATATATCTTATATGTATACTACTTATAATATGTAGTATAGGATGTCCATACATTATTGAACTTTCTAAATGAATGGAATGGGAACCACACCAGATAAAAGTTACAACTTATATGTAATCAATAGACTGATATCTGATTGTTAGAAGTACGTAAAGGGCTGTCTATATGATGAAGGTATAAGATATGACATTGTTGCATACATAACTGACCAATCCAAATGCATTGATTAACCCTAAGACATCTTTTGAGCCACAAACATTGGCTAGTTTGAGGTATAAACTGGCTATGGACAAACTGAAGTGTCAGCCTTCATTATACTACAACCAACAACTGTTTCTTATGTTGTTCTTATTTTATTAAATTAATAAGGTGGTTCAATATCAAAGTTATGGACATCCTGTGTAACTTAACATTTCTAAACAAACAAGAAATACATTTATATCTTGAAATTAGTTCCTGGTACAAATTTGTTGCACATCAGCAAAGATAGCATAAAAACTTATTTCATTTTTTTACACCACTGTGTTGGTTAAGTCAACATATTCTACCAGTTCTTTGATCATGTATCTTGATGTTTCCTCCTCACTTTAATAAATTATAACCGTTTACCAGAAATGCTTCTTCTCATTATGGACAAATGACAGATGTTATAATATGTCTCATGCATCACCTTATTGTAAGAATAAAAAAGTGTAAAAAATAAAAAATGATTGAAGTTCTGTGTTAGGAATAATCATTCGTTCTTTTACCACTGATTGATAGCAACTGTATTATTTGTAATTTGTATCTATTTTAATATAGATAATATTAATCAACACAATATGGAAATTTTTTGTTGCATGTTACAAAGTTTTACAAAGGATTCAAATTCTAAACATTTGAACTTACTACAAGATGACGTTTTTCTTTCTTTTTCATTTTTCAGAGGCCTAACTTCCAAAAAAGCATTCTCCTCGTCAGAAATGTGTTCAATTTTCATATTCAACTTTTCAAGATTTCACTATTTTCATCAGTACTTTTATATGCTATTTCACGTTTGCAATTACTTCTCTTAAGAAACAAGTGAATTACAATTCTTATCTTTTAAAAAAATTAGAACACTAATACTGACAAACACAGTATCCCAAAACTTCCAATTTCATTAGAATTTAATTAATCATTAATGTGATGCATGAGATACGTTTCCAAGAATCAAATTTTAATCCGGATTTAAAATTAAAAACTCATTTCAACAGGCATGTTTTATAAAATTACATGTCTTTTAACGAAACTTTTAAGTAATATCACATGATTTCACATTTTATTTTAATGCATTTGAAACAATCAATAATACTCGTAATTAACAACAGAAAAGGTTTTTAACCATCCTCAGGTCACGCGCAATAACAACTCCATGATACGAGAAGTCGCCAGAGGAACCTTACAAAGTCGCTAGATGTCACTATATAGACATTCTAAATGCGTATAAAATGTTACTAAACAAAGTCTTACAGAATTCAATAGAGCATTAACAAATAATCTCTTCATAATTCTATATATCATACAGGCAATTTTCGTTACAATGAGGAGATACTCCTGAAACATATAAGTTTAACATAACAGCAAATGTACAACGTTTCGACAAGGTTTGTCATCATCAACAAGTAGTTTACACTGACACAGATATATATACACACAGCGTGGTCACAAGTAAATAGACACCACCTTTTCTAAAA